AAAAGTTTCGGTTTAAACTTAAAAGTGCTAAACATTATGGGATTGTATTCGAATAGAAAGAGTTCGTTACTTTTGAGACTACGGGCTTACACTTTATATTTGGTATTGTTAGTGTCGAACACAATATTAATAATTGCGAAAACCCTTACGTCAAAAAGCTCGAACAACATGGAAACGAACGCAATGTTAATATACATATCCGATTGTGCTTCATTCTGTTTTAAACTCTTGCCATTCCTTCAAAATAGTGAAAAAATCAAAAAGTGTATCAATTTTTTCGGTCAGAAAAATTTTGTACCAAAAACCGACTACGAAAAGAAAATTATTGATGAGTGTATTCGGGTGTGTCACAGAATTTCAGCGTTTTATTTTTATAGTGTTTTGTTAACAGTAATTGGGTGGAATATCCCTGCGCTCTTTACTAAGGGACGAAAGCTTCCGTTACGTTTGTGGTTGCCATATGACCCATCATCTACCATTGCGAACTATTATTTTACACTGGTTTTCATTGCTGCAGGTATAAAAAAATTATGTACATGTACCAGAACCGACATTTTCATTTATAGCAACTTTATATGATGGTTGTTCTGGTACAATCATGGATCCATTGCTCGGTGGTTTGGTGTATCACGCAACAGCCCAGCTAAAGATTTTGAAATATAACTTAGAACATATTGACAAGCATCTAGAACATATCTTAAGCAAAACCAATGAAGATATCGTAGAATTCCCTTGTGTCCATAAACATCTGGAAAGTTGTGTTGATCACCACAAGCAAATTTTGTGGTAAATATAAAATGCTAAAAATTTAGTTTCTATATTTGCACGCATAGGTGAATTTTATCTAAAATTTTGCAGGTTTATAGACGAATATGAAGAATGTTTTTCTTGGAGCATATTCTGCCAGTTTACTGGAAGTATGCTTACTGTATGTTTTTGTTGCATTAGCCTAACCCTTGTTAGTTGAAATGTTATTTTCCCTTGAATCTTATCTACTTTAAATATTTTTTTAGGTTCCATTCAATAGCGTAGAAGCTTTGACATATGTTGTGGCAATATTTACTGTTAGTTTTCAAATATTCTTTTACTGCCATTACGGTACACTGCTGTATGAAGAGGTAAGGAACTGGTAAATTTATTTTGGTTATCCTGAATTCGTGTTTTTAGAATAATGGCCTAATCAACGCGATTTGTATGGGACCGTGGTATAAATACGACATTGAAATTCGAAAAAGTTTATTAATTATAATGGAACGCTCCAAACGGCCACTGCGTATTACCGCTGGAAAAGTGGTAGACGTTACAGTCGGAACATTTGTGTCGGTAAGTTTTTGTTGCTAGTAAATGTTTTTTAATTTAACGTTTATTTTTTTAGGTTTTGAAAACAAGTTATTCATTGATTGCTGTTTTCAATAATTATAATTAAAAGTGGCATTACCAGGATTTTCTAAACTTGATGATTATTTTCTTTAATTTTAACTTTTTATCAACTTTTGAATTTGGTGTTGAAACATGTATTTATTTTTTGTGTGTAATGTAGCCTAATCGTATTCCTTGTCGTCAATGAAAATTAGTATACATATTTAATATAATAAATGTCATATATTAATATATAAAAACATATCTCTTAAAACCTGCTGAACTTAATTGTGCTTTATTTGTAAATATTTACTGTCCATGGAGATGAAGAAATGATGAGTTATGGATGATATATCGTTTAGAAGGCTCTGAAGACCTCGAAAAAATGCAATCCCTGGGTTTAACCACAAATTTAAACCATTAACTTCTTAATTCTGATTGGTTTTAATGAACTGCATTGTCTAACAGACAGTTAAGTAATTATTATTAACTGCAATTCGAATAGGTTCGGGAGATACTCATGGCAGGTTTCATCATTTTTTAGTTTTACATTTCTTGATAAGTAGGTACTCGATATAGCGGAACACTATTTACATTAGATGGACCTGTTATCTGGGTGTCACTTCGGTTTTCAGATCCTGTAGTTATCCTCCTTTATTCAAGGAGTGTCTTAGTCTTTTAAAAACTTGTACTTATTACGTATTATTTAACAGTCATCAAAAATGAAAATTAAGATGTTTAACCTAATAAACGTCATGAAAAAATGAATAATGAGACTTTTGAAAACCCATCTATCTAATTAACTGTATTTCTTTTGTAAATATTTATTAACAAAAAAATTATTATCATATAGGTATAATATTATTAAAAGTTAAAACAAGATATAAATATAAAAAAACAATATGATGATTTAGTTTAAGTTTTCTTTAATGATATGTAGGTTCATAGTGTTACGAAATAAACCCATACGCCGCCCCGGTACGACGCCTATGGCCCGTCGAAAGCTTTCTGGTAGGTGCGACGATGATGCGTGAGTCATCATCGGTGACGAGCGGCGTTCCATAAAAACAAGTCTGGAGCGGATTACCGAAAGTTTCGATTGCGGGACCCAGAAAAATCTCGAGCGGTTTTCTCGATCCATCCAGTGAAGACCAAGTTGCGCCGGAATTATTTTGTACATAATCGCTGTGCAATCAAATCAAATCAATGTAAATTCGAGTTATTAGGAAATAAATTGTTGAGTTTTACCCACGCGGCTTTTATTCACCAATTAATCGTAACAATATTGTGATTCTCGTAATGACAAAAATTTACTTAATATAATAAAGTTTTTAAAAATTGGTCTAAATTTATTTAGCCAGAACTTCCCTCGTCACTGAATACAATAAAACAAATCTAGTTATTCAAGTTAAAGTATGCTCTAAGTGAATTTTTCATAAGAGAATTTTGTGAAGTCGTGGAATTTTTAGAGAGGATTCAAAAGAGGACAAAAGATGATAACAAAAAAAGAAAACAAAAAAGGTGAAAAAATGGCTCAAAAATGGTGATAAAAAAGTGTTAGGAAAGGCTATAAAAAAACGACAGAAATTTCCAAAATACAAGGCGACAAATAAAGGTGATAAACAAAAAGGACCAAGAAAAGCAACAAAATGTATGAGAAAAAAAGGGTCTCAAAAAAGCAACAAAAAAAGTCTAGAAATTTGACTAAAAAAACCAACAAAAAAATTCAACAACAATCTACAAAAATAAGCCATAACAAGTAACAAGGAGGGACACAAATGTCACAACAAAAGCTAGAAAAAAAACAACAACATAACAAAAGAGAACACAAAAAGTACAAAAAAGAAACAAAACCTCAAAGGAGAGTAAGAATTAAACCAAAAAAAAAGCGATTAAAGAAGTAAAAAAGATGCAACAAAAAAAGGAAAAAAAAGGCGACAAAAAATTATTAAAAAAATTAACACGCTTTTCTATTTTTCTACTTCTTAATACTTAATACTTGAACATTATTCACATCAAATGTCAATCGTCTAAAACATGTTCCATGTTTTGATCCCACGAATTTGAATGAAAAATTCAAATCTTTGAAATCGGACACCAATGTTTCAACAGGGTAACTCTTATTTATTCCACTAATAAAACAAAGAAGCGAGTCTCCAGGATGCCCACAGATTATCAAGAAAATTTCAACACCTGTGAGGACACATTTTCGATTCCTACTAGTATTTTCTTCTTCATTCTCCACGTTGTCATTTTCGTTGTTAACTTCGTCTGAGATTAAGCTGCTGCATATTCTATTCTTCAATTCTGGTTTTTTACCATTATAGTGAACCCTAATAATACTGAAAGCCGAGATCAAATCAGCAAAGTTCAAATATTGGCTAACTTCACACATTCTTTAGATTCTTTCTCCGAGTCTTTCTCAAGAATTATCTTGTGTAGGGCCCTGACAGTATTAACAGAGACGAATTTAAAATTGTCTCGACCTTCCAAAATTTCAGACAGCTTTATTGCGATCTAGTGGTGGTTGGGTGATGTAATTTTGTCTGCTATTTCAGAAAAATTTGCTTTTGATTGTATGTAAATTGCGTACTATTGAAATAAGAGAAATATAAAACCAAAATTAACAATTTAGACCAGGAAATTCTCTGACAATACATTTTCTCTGCAAAAAATAGTCGTAAGTTTTACGTTCTTCAATGCCAAAACTACTCCTTTATAAAAAGTACAGCATTTTTTTACCATTTTTGTGAATTTGGTCTTCATTGGTATAGAACTATACAAAGTAGTACTTAGATGGCGAACGATGCGTGTGCTGAATATAACGAACTAGTTCTTATCGAAAGAAAAAAGTAGCTAGGGGATTTGATGATCCATCGGATCGCAGATCGGAGCGGGCTTTCTAAAATTTGTACTTAGAGAATAAAATTTAAACCAGGGAAATATTGAGTGACACGCAGTGAAACGAAGTTATTAGACCATTAATATATTAAGATTTGGATTAGAAAAAATTAAATTAAATGCAGGTATGTGTAACAGACAAAATTATATGCTTAGTTTGCTGTTACCCTGTCTTGATCTACACTCCTAATGATTTACCCTACATTACCCGGAATTATAAAAAAATAACGATTTGTGGCATGAAGCAGTGCCTCTGTCTTATCATTTGATTCCAAAACAATTTTTATTGATTTGTCACTGATTTTAATATTTTAACAGATGCACTTTTTATTGTTCGAGACGAAATTAATTTCTTTCTCTTGTAATGCGTTAGAGCTTTGAAGTTTATGAGTTAATTCGTTACATAATTAATGAAGCAGGATCGATACTTTCATCCAGAGCGTTATGCAATTCCTTTATCAAAAGCACACACTTTAATGAATAAAAAATGAAAAAATATTGTTATTAATGGAAACCAATACAAGAATTTTTTAACCACTTTGTTATTAAACCTTTAACAAATCAAGTTCATCATATATTCACAAAGCTATGATGTAGAATTTATATTGAATATAATTGCAGGATAAGCTAAAAGGGGTGGAATCTCTTTAGAAAAATTTCTAATAGCGGATATATAACAGCAACTAAGTAACGACTTTTCATTTTAACCGTGTTTCTTGTTCCGAAACAAACTAAATAATATGGTGAATATAATAGAAAAAAGTTTCGGATTAAACCTGAAACTGCTAAATATTATGGGATTGTATTCACATGGGAAGAGTTCGATAACTTTAAGAATACGAGCTTACACGTTATATTTTGTTTTCTTAGTGTTGGCTAGCGTATTAATAATTGTGAAAACTTTAATGGCAAGAAGCTCGAACAACGTAGAAACTAATGCGATGTTAATATACGTGTCAGATTCCACTTCGTTCTGTTTTAAGCTCCTGCCGTTTCTTCAAAATAGTGACAGAATGAAAAGATGTATCAATTTTTTCGGACAGAAAAAATTTGCACCAAAAACCGACTACGAAAGAAGAATTTTAGATGAATGTGTCTGGGTATGTCGCAGGAACTCCATTGTGTTTTTTTATGGTTTGTTGTTGACAATTATTGGCTGGACTGTCCCCATGCTGTTTGTCAAAGGACGAAAGCTTCCGTTAATGCTGTGGTTACCATATGATCCCTCATCTACCGCTGTGAACTACTATTTTACTTTTGTTTACATTGTTGCAGGTATTGAAAAATATTTTATGTCTGTAAAACCAATATTTCCAGTTATAGCAACCGTATATGACAGTTATTCTGGCACAATCGTGGATCCATTGATTGGTGGTTTGGCATATCATGCAACAGCTCAACTGAAAATTCTGAAATATAACTTAGAGCATCTTGACAAGAATCTGGAAGACAATTTAATCAAAAGTAGTGAACATATAATAGAATTCCAGTGTGTTCGCGAACACCTGGAAAGTTGTATTGATCACCACAAGCAAATTTTATGGTAAATATAAAAGTCTTGTTTGTATGTATAGATTACACTTTTGCTTTCTTGAATAATTTGCAGGTTTATAAATGAATATGAAGAATGTTTTTCTTGGAGCATATTCTGCCAGTTTGCTGGAAGTATGTTTGCTGTATGTTTTTGTTATATTAGCCTGACCCTCGTTAGTTAAGATAATATTTTTATTTGTCTTTTGTACTGTTATTCTTTTCTAGGTTCCATTAAACAGTGTAGAAGCTTTGACATATGTTGGAGTAATATGTAACATTAGTTTTCAAATATTATTTTACTGTTATTATGGTACTTTATTGGATGAAGAGGTAAGAAAATCAGCCAACTGGTAAATAAATGTATTCTAAACATGATGGTTTTGATGGATTTGTGTTTTTAGAATAATGATTTAAGCAAAGCGATTTATATGGGACCGTGGTATAAATATGACGTTGAAATTCGAAAAAATTTACTAATTATAATGGAACGTTCCAAACGGCCATTGCTTATTACCGCTGGAAAAGTAATAGATGTAACAGTGAGAACATTTGTATCCGTGAGTCTTGTACAAGATAGTAAACACAAATTTTTTAACTTATACTTATTTTTTTAGGTTTTAAAAACAAGTTATTCGTTGATTGCTGTTTTCAATAAATAACTAAAAATGACACGAAAACAATGATTTTAATCTGAATAATTATTTTTCTCAAGGCAAAAAAATTGAATTTCTTTCACCATTTAGATGTCTGGTTTGTTTTTAAAACATGTATGTACAATTAATTTTTGTGTGTAATGTATCCGCATCGTATTTAACCAAATAAATGTGAAAAAATTATAGATCTTTTAATTCTCACTCAGCTAATTGTGTTGCTTGTGAACATTTGTTATGTAATAAGTTCCTTGGGACGTGGACAAATAAAGTCCAACTCACAATTTAACAATGTATTGTAAATAATAGCCATGGGTAAGAGTCCAATTTCTTGAAAATAGCTAACAATTTTTTCCTATTATAAACTGGACCTCTCGCTGCCAATTTGTTCATTGTTATTTATAAGTTATCACCAACAAAAATTAAGGTATTGAACCTATTAAATGTCTTAGTCTTGCATTAGTCTAGAAATGGGTCCGACCATCTTCAACCAAAGCTACAACGCGGATGATACGATTAGGAATATTCATTATATGCCAAAATAACGTTTTCAATTCAAAAATTTCACAAACATGTGATTTAGTATTCTATATAAGGGTACTATGAAAAGGTACTTTCTTTTTTTTTAATAGAATCATCAGTCACAAATGATAAGAAACTATTTAAAAAAAAGGCATGTTTTTTAGCATATTTTAAACTTAAAACAAGATACAAATATGTATAAAAAAACATGTTCATTTACTTTAAGTTTCCTTTAATGATATGTAGGTTAATACAGCAAAATGTATTTTACTAGAATAATAAACGTTTACATGTTTTAAAAAGTTGGTCGAACCTTATTTCGATAGAACTTCCCTAGTCCCTGAAACACAAGAAAACAAATCCAGCTTTTTCGAAAAATTATAAAATTTGATTATGCGAAATTTATTTTTTTATGCGAACTCTTATAAGTTAAAATTAGTTATATATGTAACGACAAAGTAAATATAAAGAAGCATGCGTACTTTCCAAATGAGTTTTATCTCAACAAAATTTTCTGATAACGTCATCAAAATTTTTACAAAGACACGTATGTCACTTTGGATACGTACAGTGTAAAACTAATGATAACAGTATTGCGTTTCCAAATTTTCGGGAAAAATGAGTGAGCCGTATCCGATTTAATCAATAAAATAGTAGTAGAAGTATATAGGTACTCATCATATTTTACACATTTTGGATAGGATTTTTTCGGCAAAATTTTGAGATAACGTCATCAATTTTTTAGGGCGGGATAAGACAATAAATTTTGCTTAAGAATTTATTGTCTTCCCAGTTTAAAGTGGTTTTTATGATAGGTCCATTGTTTCGAAGTTGATGATGGGGACAATGGAGTAAGTTCCTAGCCATAAATAAGAAAGGGGTTGGTTTCTTGCAGGGCCGTACTTTGTTATTCAACTCATATTGTCCGTCGTGGGGTAATAATGAGGTGATAATTTTTATTATTTTGTCATAAAAACCACTTTAAACTGGGAGTACAATACCATGATTACGATAACTTTAAAATATTTACAAGATTTCAGAGCAATCGGTTGCGTAGTTTCAAGTTTATATTGCAAAATATTGACATTCAGTTTTGAACTTTTTCCAAAAAATCTGAACGTCTAGGGTCCAAATTCGACACGTATTCACACACCACAAGGGCAGGAGTTTCTTATTTTATGAAATTAAAAAAAAACTGTTTATTATAAATTTTGGAGATGACGTTATCCCATTGGTGGTAGGGATGATTAGCCAATTTTGGTTAGCGTTTAAGCATCTACATGATATTCCTAATATGTACACAAAATTACCTGTCTAATAAAAATGGATACTGACACCAGACACACAGACAGACGGAAATGGGAGAACACTTTTTTCGTGCTCCAGAGGTCATGACACGTCGAGAAAATATGAAAGTTGCAATTCGGTCTATGGACTCGATTACTATACTTCCTTAGCTCACGTTCGGAAAATAAAAATTAGTCTAGATTTATTTTCAGTTGTTAAATTTAAATTATGTTCTAAGTGAGTTTTTCGTGAGACAATTTTGTGATGTCACGAAATTTTTAACAAAGACAAAAAATGGAAACAAAAAAAATAATGGTGGCAGAAAACGACAAAAAACTTTGCAAAAAATGCAACAAGACGACAAATAAAGGGGATAAAAAGGGTGATAAAGAAAGAGGACCAGGAAAAACCACAAAAAGATGAGAAAAAACAGCCAAAAAAAAACGCCGCAGAAAAAGCGACACAAATTTCACAATACCTGAAAACAACAGCGACAAAAAACTGGTGTAACTGAACATTATTTTTTCACTAGCAGCGTAGAAATGCACCATTATCAAGCTTGTCTGTGAGTAGTGAATTCGTTTTTCTCTACCAAATTCAATAATGCTAATTAAATTTGATCAAGTTTAATAATGGAAGTGACGTTATTATTGACCAAGGGCTATAATGAAGATTGAGGTTATGTAATGCTTAACAAACGAAAATTTTCCATTATTACCAGATTGAACTTCCATAACAACATCTCGGGAGGGTAGGGGAGAGGACTACATAGTTCTCGAGAGAAAAAATCAAACTAGGAGATTTGATGATCGATCGGATGGGAATTCTAAAATTTGTACTTAGAGAATAAAATCTGAAAACGCTTCAATAAAATTTAAACAAGAGAAATATTTAGTTGTACAGAACAAAACACGCAGTGAAAAGAAGTTTTGTGTAACCATTAGACCATTCCTATGCTAAGATTTGGATTAGAAAAAATTAAATTAAATGTACGTATGTGTAACAGACAAAATTATATGCTGTTATCCTGTCTTGTCCTACATTGATACTGATTTACCCTACATTATCCGGAATTATAAAAAAATTGTGGCGTGAAAGAGTGCCTTTGTCTTATCATTTGCGTTCAAATCAATTTTTATTGATTTGTCGCAGATATTAATATTTTAACAGATGCACTTTTTACTGTTCGATACGAAATTAATTTTTTTCTTTTGTAATGCGTTAGAGCTTTGAAGTTTATGAGTTAATTTGTTACATAATTAATAAAGCAGGATCAATAGTTTCATCCAAAGTGTTATGCAATTCCTTTATCAAAAGCAAACACTTTAATCTAATACTATTAAACGAGCAAAGTTTGTATATATATATATTTATATATATATATATATATATATACAGGGTTAGTCACGAGAGAATTACTTCTGAAAATTATTTTTACGCAACCCAAAATACTAATACCCTGTACTACTTGATATTATCTAAATTTAAAATGAAATGCCTAATCCATAATTGCTTTGATTTTGGCAGTCACTTTGACGTTAATTAATTTTTAACATTTTTTTTCATCGTTGACTCGCCTCTAGAGCCCCATTGGATCGACGACATACAGTCAGATCAATCTGGGCTATACTGAAGCCGTAAGTGCTCTACCAATGTTGTTCGCCGCTAATGTGCATGTGTTAATTCGCCATCTCTACGTCACCTAAAGCCTCTTCGAAGTGCAAATCTGCAACCTCTGGACTTCTTCGGCTATCCATTTACAAAAAGCCGTAGCATCCCCCCAAAATGCCCAACATTTTCAACAGATTAGTAGTTAAATTATTTACTTACCTGTTTGAGTTTGTGTTGTAACCTTTGAATAAAATGCCGTAAAAGGAATTTTTAGAAATAATTTTCTCGTGATTAATCGGTTGCAAAAGATAAAGAGGTACACTGACAAATTTATTAGCGGCGCCGGAGGAGATTTCCGACTGGCTGCGGTACCACCATGGACACTCGCGTAACTTCCTTTTCCACAATTGTCAAAATGAGATTCCCAAACTCAAAGCAATCATGGATTAAGCATTTCATTTTAAATTCAGTTAGTATCAAATGGTACATGGTATTCGTATTTTGGGTTGCGTAAAAATAATTTTCAGAAGTAATTCTCTCGTGACTAACCCTGTATATGTAATGGGTTTCTCGAAAACGGCTCTAACGATTTCGATGAAATTTACAGGTTAGGGGTTTTTTGGGTCAAGAAATCGATTGATCATAGTTTTAACTTCTGAAAATTACAGCTTCATGCATTTTCAGCAATTTTCAGGCAGTGAATTATATTTGTTGCTAGGCAACATCAGATGACACTACACGAACACGAGATTGTTTTATATGAGAAGTTTGGGTGACAGTCTGACAGTACGTTTGACGTACCTTTTTATCTTCAATTGTACGTACCGAAACATACTCCACTGTATAGAGGACGTTGAAATTCACCTCCTGAGGTGAGAAAATTTACCAAAAACTAAACAGTGAGCGGATAAAAGGCACACGAAAGTGTGTTGAATTGAGATTATTTTGTCAAGCATTCATTTCAGAGGTTCCACGGTCAGTGTCAACATCAGGGGCGGCTCATGTCTTGAAAAGTTGATGAGGCAAAGCACAATACGCTCCAAAATATAAATAAATCAAGATTACTTAAATATTTTCTACTTAGTCAAATAAACAAATTTGTAAACTCATTTAACTGTCCACCAAGAAGCAACGTGAAGGTGTAAGGAACTCTTGTAAGGAAAGGATGGGAATGACAGGACAAAAGGAAAGGGAAACGTGGTCAGAAAAAACTAATATAACTTAAAAAAAAAAAACAAAATTAAAATAAACTTTGAAGAAAACATATCGAAAAAAATCAAATACAACATAAAATAAACCTAATTTGATTTATAACAAAAAACAAAACGAAAAACATATAAAACATAAATACTCTGGATTTATTTTAAACTTTTTTATAGATCAATTAACGATTTACTCAAATCAGGAACCGGCCGTTTTAATTCCTTAACTACATACAATTTATCATCATACGTGAAAATAGAAAAAACAGAACTGCTATTGTCATTTAACGTTAGTAGAGAAAAATTCCGATTTACTCGTAATCTTAAATAAAGATTACCGAAATCAAATTATGACAAGCACAAAGCACTAACGCGACACACGCAAACGTAGGCACTTTTAAGACAAAATTCTGTTACCGAAATTTTGAATCAGTTTATACACACACAGATTTGTGGCAAAATAATCAACGGCCTAATTTTGAATACTTATCTCTTTTGCAAGCACGGAAATGAGGCTAGCCTCAATTTTGTCTTTTTTCAACTTATACCGCTTATGAGTGTATTGCAGGTTGCTTGCCTATTAACGATATGATTTCTATATCTGATGTAGAGGCAAGCTTCGAGTTTGCCTCATTCGCGTCACAAAATACATGTTGTGTCGAGTGTTTCAGCGCGCTGTTTAATTAAGGGAGCAACGAGTACCTACTGAGATAAAAATAAGAATATAATTTTCCATATTTATTTTTTAAATTTTAGAAAAAAGACACAAATTATTGGCCGAAATGTGTCGTTAAAAAATAGTAAAAATCCTAATAAGGCGTAAAATTCATTGGTGAGGCACTGCCTCACCTGCCTCATAGGACAAGCCGCCCCTGGTCAACATGTGATCGTTTTCGGGGATGGGACCGTGTTATTTGAGTTTT